TGTTGACTCAATTCTCAAAATTCTCAAAAATAATTGTGTCATGACTCAATTATTTATATGTTTTAATAGTGACTCAAATAATTGCATCAATTGTGTCAAGGATTTACGAATTTCAGCAACATATATAATGTATATCTTGTTATATACAAATTAAAATAAAGAAATGATGTTTACCTATTGAAGAAACCCTCTCAAAAAAATATAATTTGAAATTCAATAGAAATAACAAATTTTTGTTACATATCAATTATTTAAACATTTTAAAAATTTTAACAAGAATATTGATATTTTTAAATTTATAATTAATAATAATATAAAATTTAATTAGATTAAAAACAAATATATAAATAATAATTAGAAATAATAATACATTTTATTGATTTCGGCCTGATTAAGAGTTATAAAAAATAATAATAACATAGTTTATCAATACAAGATAGTTTGTCATGCAATAAAAAAAAATTATTGTGTTAACATATTTTGAATAAGATTTTTCTCAATTTCAAAATAAATATTCTTACCAGGCTATTTGAAAGTTACAAGATTTATTTTATAATTTGCAAAAAAATTCAAATATGATTATTTTATTTTACTATTTCAAGTAATTTGTTTTAATAAATAATTGTAAAAATAATAACATAATAACAACAACAACAATAATAATAATAATAATAATTATATTTAAAAAACGTCTTTAGTAAAAGAATTATCTTTGAAACAAAAAAGTCATAAACTTGTGTATTGTCAATAACATATTTTTTAGCTCTCTCGTTTTTTTTATTCTTTATAATGATTATTTTTTGACCGTATATCACATTAAATAAGAAAAGAATAAATTTTTTAAATAAAATTTATAATAATAGTCCAATATACAATATTTCATAAATGTGAATAAAATTTTTTCAAAAAATTATTTTAAATAAAAAATCGCAATTTTCATTTATATACTGTAATATACAGTAAATTCACTTACAAAGTTTACAGTCGTTTTCGAACAATTTAATTTATATGTTGTAAATAAATAAAATTAGGAATTAAACAAATATTGTAGGTTGTGATATTAAAGTCAAATTCCGATCAATTGGTATTTCGATATTAATTGACGATTATCGAAGAATTCGTGTGACATCAAGTGTCATTGTTACTCGATATGGATAAAAGTCTATCGTTGGGAGCGTTGGGAAATAAATAGTAAACATGAACATGAGTAAAACGAAAGAACACAATGCACATTAGGGTGAGATAAAGGCATATAGGCCAGGAATGCAGTGAGTATTGTTAAGGCGTACGCATGTTTCCTGCAAGAGAATAATAATTCACGTGAACACGTGATGATAATAAATTTAAACTTAATTGTTAACAAAGCCAGTCGATCCTTGGAATTTATGCTCAGTAATTTTTCAGGTTTTTCTTCGGTATGCATTCTCCTCTTTTTTCCTCTTCTCAATAAACTAAATATTCTCAGTTTGCATAGAGTATTCGGTGGTGGAAATTGTAATTAAAAGAAGACCAACGTTTTTAAGTTATTTAAATACCTTGAATTATCACAATTAAACCCAATTTTACGGGTATTACTACCGTGAAAGCATCAATGGAAACCGATAAATTGGTGGGAGAAAACAGACTTCCTGGAGTATGCGAGGATAAAAAAAATTCAGCAGTTCGCATGCAGAGTGCACTTGTTTTCCCGGAATCGGTGATTTCAGAAAATTCATATACGCCGGGCATTCCGAAACCTACTTCGCCATTGAAAAGCAATTCTGCCAACGAAGTTACAATAAATAACGATGATGTTAACTCGGTTCAACTCACTAATGATTCCAATAACCGAATTTTAGATTCTTTGAATCACTCGTTATCGGAATCTTCTGATGATGATGACGATTCGTCAACTTCTAGTCGTTCCTCAAATCATCCTTCAGTGATCAAAATCACTATGAAGGAGATATTAAATTATAAGTCGTCTGTCTCGAGCACTCCTCGTATCAGTCAAAAGAGTCAAAAACAAGAGATTGAGGGGGCACAAAAAGTACGCAATGAGAACGCGGACGACAATAGTACTAGTTGTAATATATCATCTAATATCAACCCAAAAATTAAAAATGGAATTCAAAGAAGAGGATCTCAACAAGTCATTACTACTTCATCAAAGAATTTGGATGCTGATAACGGTTTACGAAGGGGAAACTGTATGAAACCGGATCCGCAACGAGCTCTGGGGCCTCAATCGAATTTGACATTGACATCAGTGCCCGCGATTACCCCCGAAAATTTCCCACATTCAGTTCAAAGCACAAGGTTTCAAGGAAGTATTCACTCATCATCTGAAAAGGAAAGGTTATGGAAGGAGAGTATATCAGAAAAACAGAAGAAGCTCAAGATGTTGGTGAAGACGGTATGGCCTCAAATTCGACTTCCCCCTGCAAAGCATATTGCAGCCACTCTGTCTCCTGCAGCGCTGGAGGGACGACCAATGTTTTCTCCGTTAACAGTCGGGATAGTCACCATGAGAAATAAGCAGCAAATGGTTTCGTCGGTGACAGTGACAAAAACAAAACATAGTGTCGACAGTGATTATCATAGACCAGTTATGATAACAGAAGTATGCGATCCTCGGGAATATTTGATTAAGCATTGCCCTACCTATCAAAATCCTCCTTTGGACGAGGATGGCAAATGGACAGATAGTTTTGTGTTAAACAAAGTACTGCCAGAATTGGCCAGCGAGGTAAATATAGTACAACGGCAACCTGGGCTGTTACTGACGGTCAAAGAAATAAGGATGAGGGGGTTGGAAGAATACAGGTTGTTCGAGTGTGTACGGTGTGCAAATAATGCAATTGAAAAAACCTTCGGTTACGCAGAAGTCATAAAACATTTACTAAGGAATCATTATCTTAAAGAAGTAATAGATGAAGAACACATAAAAATCAATATAAAAGAATATGTATTTGCGTTTAGCAAAAATCTTCCGCCTAGGATTGTAAATTTATGCACGTGACATTTTTTTTTTCCGTTCCGGAAGGGAAACATTATTTTTCGATTTTCGGAGCGTATTTATATCATCTTTTTTTTCATATTTATATTTCTTGTTATCAATAAACGTTCGAAATTTTGTTGCATAGTTTGTCTTGCTGACCGTGAAATGTTAGATAAACACTCTCCAGAGATCATGCAAACGTCTTAGATGCGTTTGCAGATCAATCGTGAAGAAATCCGATCAGGTGACTTTACCTTACCGTTCATTCTATTCACCGAATGTATCGGATAACGTGTGTGGATCGGGTGCCGGAGGGCCGTATATTTCTTCGCACCTTTTTTCAAAAGCCGTAACCATTAGATCACTTACTTGACCAAAAAAAGTTTTGGCCAATTGAGCGTGTATGGGGGAAGCGAATTCAAATTCCAGGCTAAAGTTTAGGTTACAATGCATCGATGGTGATGCCTCGTGGGGTGTAAATTGCCAAAGGGTTGTTAGATGACGAAATAATGCGTCGGATGATGCTATCGCCTATGTACACATAAATAGTTACATGTAATTAGAATAGAGGATGTGTGCTGTGTGAGAATTTGATCCGATACCTGACCTGAACATAACGTGGCCTTTCGCACGTTACTTCCGACACATAAGTTTCCGAGAATCCTACAAAGTTCACTTCTAATGCTGCCGTGAGTATCTTTTTTACGTCAAAATGTTTTGTCTTTAGGACCTTGGAGTTTGTGCAAAACGGAATGAACATATGATATTCGTCGATATTTGAAACAACATCGTAGAGTTGTTCTTGTGTGTACCTGTTGTTGTTGCGCGATGAATGAATGTTAAAAAGACCGATAAAACGTGTCTGATGACGATAACGGAAATTACAAACCCTACAACTTTATATCCAGTGTAAGAACTTCTCGACGATAGATTATCCGAAAGATTAAAAAAAGATCGTTTCTGACAAGTTGACGACCGAGTCTGTGCATATTGAAGTAATCTCGAGACATTTTTCGCCGGGTGAATAGAAAAAAATCCTTTTGGTTTAAGAGATGATCGTAGAATGCTCGTTATCATGGTGGATCCTAGATCGAGGCCAGGGATGTATGGAATTCGGAAATAAAAAAAAAAAAAAATAATAAATGAATTTATCGAGAATTCATTATATCACATGATTGAAATCACGTTTATGAAAAGAACAAGGTATTTATGTGAATAATTTCGTGTCGAGAGGGTTCATTCGGCAAAAGCGAAAAATCAAGAGGTGATCATCGATGTCTGCAAAGTTAAAATCGTCCACATCTTGTGGTAAACATGAAGACACACGAAAATAATGTTGTAACGGTTTGTATTGTCTGACACGAGATATCGCGTGGCACATTTAGGGCAAACGTCATGCTTTATAAAAAGTACATTTTTGTTTCAATCGTTTAAATCATTTGTGTTCCCATAACAGTCAATTCGATATCAAATTAATCAGGTGTAAAGAAAGAAAGTTAACTTTCAAAGAAGAAAAATGCTAATAGCCAACAATATACAAAATTTATTTGACAGTTTAGATAAACAATAAAATCCTATTCTACATAGATCTTTAATATGGGTTTTTTTTTTGGTAATTGATTAAGTGGAATGAATAAAAATAAAAAAAATACAAAATCTGTACAGGCAAAATAATGGAAATGAATATCACATCGAGGATGTGTGACCATGCAATGATCCACTTATCGACCCTCTAGGCCTTTGTATCAGACCTTCCAAAATAAATGGGCTGTTGTTTCCTCCCGAGTGCAGAGATTCGTCGTCATCACCGATCGAGGATATGTCGTCTTCCTCTGTTGACGATGCGGAACTTAGATTCTGCAGCATTTCGTCACGTTCTCTTTGTGATGGTGATTGGTAAGGCGGAATTGCGTCTATATTGCTATCGCTTAGTTCCACTTGTGATTTAAGAGATCTCGTGGATTTGCTCTTTGATAGACTTTTTTCCAAAATTGCTTCTACCGTTGGATCATCTTCCAAATTACTTGATCCTCCAATCTCGTCGCCAAAGTCATAATATTCATCCGTGAATTGTTCAATAATATTGGGTATCTTGTACGCCATTGTTTTTCCTCCCATGCTGCCATTACTACTGAGGGTGTCATCATTTGGAAGAAAGTAATCATTCAAGTCCTGAAGTTTTGAAAAGATGTCACTGAATTTGTGTTCGTTTGTCGGCGTCTCGTCTCTGTACCCCATAAGCGTGTCACTTGGATCATCAAACAATTGGATTTCGTCGTGTTGAGGCGTTACCTTACACATAAAGCACACCGCATGCACATTCGATCGAGCAGTTTCCATCGCTGTCTGTCTATCGGGTATGGCCCATCCGTTATCATCCGGATCACCGAATAGGCTAACCGTTCCTTCCATATCCTTGCCTTTGCGGGAGCCCATGCTCATACGTACAATCTTTGGATCCTTTGGCGTAACCATTATAGATATCGCCTCATCCATTACCTCCAACGCTTCCTTTGAATATGGTGAGTGCAAGTGGCGGAGAAGCGGTAGTATTAACTCTGACCCTATCGTTAGAAATTCTTGTCTTTGGGTGTCTATGTGTGGCAGCATCATCTTGATGATGGTCATTGTCTTTAGCTTAAAGTAACGCGTGTTGTTTGAGAGTAGACTCATGAGGAACAATAGTGTTTGCACCTCGTAATCAGGAAAGTAATTATCTCGTAGGACTAAAATTATTTGTTTCAAAAAGTCATCCTTCGCCCTAAACCTTCCTTTGTTATATGAATTGAGTATGCGGGCAAGATTATGTCGGTTTTGTTGCTCGGAGATCTCGGATAAATGTTTTGCCCATTCCGCACATTCTTCTCGGATGGATTCGTCCTCCAGCGAATGGACGAGCCGTGGAAGATTCGCGAGGATGAGGTGCAAATGGCGTCCTGGTGTTGAATCTATTAATTGTATATCTTGCAAAAACAATAGTTTCTTGAGCATGTCAAATGTTTTCTGACACGCTGTCGATGAGTATAACCCTTTCAACAACAAAGGCTGAATCCCGGTGAATTGTCCTTGCCATTTGTTTTCTGGAAAATAGTCCCAGAGTATTTCCTGATTTACCTTGGAGGAAAGGTCAAATTTATCCAAAAGTTTATTCATGATAGCCAGTGACTCCAAAAATTCTGATTCGTTAGTTGTCTGGAGGCACGCGATTATTGCCCACAATAATTGCGGGTAAATCTCCTTGGTTCCTGGTTCCAGCCAATCTATGACGTGGTTGAGTGTGATCAAGATTTCTAGTGCAAATCCTTGTATCTCATCTGTACTGTCAGATATGGTATTTGATAGGCGGGCCAATACATCGGCCAACATGTGTTCGTTGAATACTGGACTGAGCGAACGAAAGATCTGGAACGATCGGCATGCGATGTGACGAACGGGGCACGAGGTTGCCCATTTTAACGCCATCTCTCCCCAACTCTGTTTGAGATCACCGCGATTGCTTTCGCCGTATACTGTGGCACCAAAAATAGTAACGACATCTCGAGATAACCTTTCCAGGTCGGTCAGACTCTTTATATCTCGATTATTGTAAGTGATATCTTCATATGCCCAAAGTTGCGAGCCCTCTTTTGCTTCCAATTCGGTCACCAACGATTGTCCGAGTTTAACAACTTCTTGATATACGGATTTACTGATGATGATCGAGTGAATCAGATTTATCAGAAGTGTTTTTGTTTCTTCGCTAATATGCGAATTTGTGGAGTCCAGTTGAACAAATATCACATGTAGCAACCTTGGAAGATGAAATTCAAAATCGGTTCCTGCTTCAATTGCCATGTCGACCATGTACAAAGTGGCCAACTGTCCGGATGAGAATATGGGTCGTTTGTGATGCTGTGGCATGGCTTCCTCAATTTTCGCGAGAAACAATTTGCAATTTTTAAAGTCCTCTCGCTCCAGCGTTTCCTTAGGCTGAGGGGTCATTGATTTTGGTGAGATCTCGGAGATTAAGGCTTCGATGACGGCTGCGCAAGTAGGTGTGCGCCCAAGGTAAACGAATACACGTTTTGCGTGGGAAACAAAAATCGGATTTCTTTTTTCTAATCCAACGTCAATCAAAAATTTCACTATGGCATGAACGTTGTGCGCGTGCTCCCCCATTACCAATTGTTGCCAAAGTTTCTCAATGTCCTTAACGAATACATCGCCGTATTTGACCGTGATGAAAAAGAGGTTGGAAATCATGATAAAGGTGGTTGGGTGTAATTCTCTCGCATCTGTGAATCGTAGTTCGATGTTTTTGAACCATGGCACTAGGTAGCGTAGCACGTCTTTCTTACTTTTTTCGTGAACGCTTTCGAAACGCATGGAAACTTCCGAAATGAACCAATGTGTTTCTTCGCAAAAGTCAAAGTGCAAATTTGGTTGATCATTCGCAGAAATCTCATATTGCTTGCGCCTTTCCTCGTCTCTTTTCCTTGTGTTCTGAGCAAGACGTGCAGACAACGCGACTTGAGCTTGCTTGTATATTGAGGATAGCCGGCTGGTGATCCCAACGTCAAATTCGCCGGTGCAACTTCCGCCATACAGCCGTTTCTCAATAATGGATAGCAAATTGAGTGCATTTCTTCGAATTTCCAATTCATCATCACCAGTTTTGAACAAAGCCAAGGCCAACATTTTTGCTGTCCTGTCGCAAGGATAATTGTGATCTTTGAAGAAAACCTCCGCTACGGCCAAAAAGTAACCTTGTGTGCTTTTAGATGTTGGAACTCCCGAGTAGCAAAGGCGAACAGGAACTTCAAGAAAATTTGCTACCTTCGAATTAGAAATGAGCAATCCCTCGAGAGCTTTTCTTTTATACCAAAAAAAAAAATCGATTAGTATTACGCCCGGGCGAAGAAAACAAATTGGATTGGGAATGGTGAGAAATTTGCGTTAAAGCCAACCTCGCGATGGGATGCAATTTATCTTGAGGATCTTCGAATACTGATTGAATCCAAGCAAACACGCTCTCGGCATCGAGAGACTTTGTTGCTGGCTTCGGGAGGTTCTGATCGTGAAGAACCAAAGGACCTCTCTGTTTAACAAATAGAATCAAAACTAACATTTGGGTTTCATGAATTGCAGATTACGAAATCAGAAACATCACTCACGCATAATGATGCCATCGCGTTGAGAGCCGCAAATTCCAAAGATTTTCGCTCGTTTTCCATCTGTGTTGTCATGGGTCGTCTTTCTTCCGAATCTTTATAATGATCAATCATAATCGAAATCAGGCCTACATCCTTAGCTCGATGGTGCATTCCCCGTTTACCATGGCCACACCATTCTTCAATCAACTGAAATACGCATGCTCTCCAGTCTGGGATAACTTCAGATTCTTCATGCATCAGGCACAATCCGTCATAGAATTTTTCGACCACTCCACAAAAGTATTGTCGGAGCCTGACGTAATCCCAATCCACAGAGACTTCCGGATCGCGAAGAAAATTAAAGGTCTCAATAATAAACGCCCTTATCCAACCGCTAATGGTAGGATCTCTGTGTTCCCTGACGAGAAAACGAGAGGTCAATTGATAAACGTGGGCGAGTTCGATGCGAAGCTTTTCATATTTCTTGGTACGCTTGTGAATGTTGGTGTAGGGCTGCTTGCTGACTTTGATCTTGGTTTCTTCGGCGACCGACCTAAAGTATGGTTGCATGTCCTCAATCAAGCCTTTGTAGACATTTTCGTTAATACTTCCCAATGCGGTTACCACGGATTCGCTGATTATGTTATGATCGGATGACAGAAGTGGCAATACTATTCGAAATAGGTCCCTGGCAGTTGTGATGCGCTCGGGTGGTGGCGGATGAGAACGCTTCCGATTATGTGTAGAAATTCGCTCGGCCAACTCATCGGCCATCGTAATGGTTGAGCAGGCAACAATGAGATAAGATCTCCATTGCTCAATTAGCTCGTCTGTCGCCGAAACACTAACTTTAGGATAATGAAACTTTGGCATCGATAGTGTCGCGGTAGGGGCACGCGAAAGCGCCTCAGATGCCGTGTTGATCGCCGCCTGCATGTGCACGATACGAATACAGACGTTGTTACGGCACAAGGCTACCGTAACTGGGAAATATGAAAAACAAATTTTCATGAATTCCGGGAAGCATCGGGACCAAATAACAGTATCGGCGGGGTTTTCGCTCTCCACGAGTCGCAAAAGAATATCTTTCTTTCCTTGTTGTAGGAGCTTTTGTAGTCTTACGTGTTCATAAACCGACAGTGAATTTACTAAATTGGTGTCAAACTTGATCAACTCGCCTCCTCGGTCGAGCACGTGAATGATGCGCGTGTACGTGACATTACTGTCTGTGCCTGATGCCGAATAACATAATATGTTGGCAGGTGTATCGGGACTACAACTTTCGTCCATCTCATCCTTCTCAGGGACGGGCGAGCCTTCGTCGGGAATGGGGGACTCGGATACTTTGCCGTCTACGCTTGACGCGGTACCTCGACTCAAACCTGCTGAATTATTCTTTCCCTTGCGTTCATTGAACTCGTGTTCTAATTCCGCCACGAGGTGAAGAATCAAGATGGCATACTTTCTAATTATGCACGTTTGACTGCAAAGAAACAACAACCCATTTGCCTCCGTTACTTCTATTATTGTCCATATGCTTGGATCCTCTACTTCATTGGTTGTTTTCGCAGGATTCGGTGTTTGCGTATTAATAGTGCTCGGCTGTTCAGATGCATCCCCGCGTTTTTTACTTCGCAGCTGGTGCAACCATTGCTGTAGAAGATCATAATATAGTTTTAATATTCCCGTGCATTTTGTTTCTCTTCCCGTTCCCACACCGATAAGTATGTCGGAGTATTTATCTTCAATTCGGTGAACAAAGTGGGAGAAACTCATTATCACGGTTTCTGCGCCACATTGTAAAGCTATTCGAATCAATGCTATTGCCGCCGAACGTGCGAGATCTTGATCAACGTGTACGGTGTATCGGCACAGTATTTCCACAATACGAGTTCTACTGGGTTTGTTCGGAAGCAGTCTCGGAAGTGATTCCACATATTCTCGCATTAAATTAAAGTACGGTTGCTTATCCTTGGAATAAGAAACGAACATCGTGTTATAGTTGTAATAGATCATCGTGTCACTGAGTCCACCAACAGCACCTGAGGCCAGCGAAGACGGAGTGTAAGAACTTTTGTTCGTTAAGAATTTTTCCTCTAGAACAGTTAGATGACCGAAATGAGGGTCCAATATACTTATTATCTTGTATGCCAAATCACAAAACTTCTCAACATTTTCTTTTAACCCAGATTGATTAAAAATTTCGTCAGATAGCACATCCGAAGATATTCGTATTCCAAGGTTACTTTTTATTGAGATCAGATCAGGATCGCTGGGAAACGCCGGCCGCAAATCAGAAGCTTGCATGCTGGTTAACAACAACATAAAAGATCGTATTCCAATTCTCATTCTTTCCGGTGCGATATAATCCAATGAAGCTGACGTGACATTGGCTATATTGTCTGAATTCATCAACATGAAGATAAGATTCTTCATGCAATAATCGTGGTGACGTATTCCAATAAATTGCACGAGCTCCACAAATAAATCCACGTGAACATCCGAAATAACCGATTTTCGGTTAGGAGGAAAGATAGTTTTAATTATGTCATCAAGCTTCTTATATGTCGTATTTGTACCTTCTGAGCATCGATACAGGAATGTCCACACAAGGCGTATTACACATCCCATGCCCATTTGCCTTAAGGATTTATCCTAAAAAAACAAAAACAAATAAGAATAGACCAACCAATCGGATACGAATAGGTCGTGAATGAACAAAACCTTGAATCTTTGAGTGCATGCGTAAAGACATTCGGTCCAACGGGCCAGGAAGAATTCTCTTTGGCTAACGCATAACAATGTTGTGGCAAGAGGATAAGCGACCTATGTATTATCAATAATCTCACTGAATATGATATGACAAGTCCACACGTAAAATGATTGGATTGTCGTGTGAACTTACATTCCAATTTCTTTGTTTAAACGTCATTTTCCATGCTTTCGGATATAATATCTCTACAGCCTTCACCCAAGCAGGAAAGTTAACTTCAGCGACCGCTACCTGAAAAGGGAAAACAACAAATTTTGGTAGAACCTGGAGTAATTATTCACTTTCAACGAGTTTTTTTAAAAAATCAACGCCTATTATAAACCTGAAATTGATTTTTATAGAGTGTTTGCCCTCTAAAAAAATAATTTTTTTTTTTTTTAGACTAACTATCCAAGGTTATGTGGTCTTAAAAAAGATGAAACATACCCCCGCGATTGGCATAAGCAATCTGACAAATAAGTCGGCATAAGCATGTTTTATTCGTACGCCATGGGCGAGTCTCAAGAAATTCGCCAAGCTCTGAAGGAAATCTGCGGTCTCTTCCAACGCTTCTATGGGATAAATCTTTGATAACATAATAATGATAAAAAAAAATTTGTTTTTTTATGATTAAGAATTCAGCTCCAGAATGATCATGGAAAATTAATTAAAAACAGACGAACCTTCAGATGGAGATGATACATCCCTTTAATTAGTAGCTCGATCTTGGTGTCTTGTTCCTTCAGGGCACCTGGCGGTAATTTTGTAAAGCCTTCCAGTTTTGCGATGAATCGATCAGAAACGGACATGAAGCGTGTCTTGGATAGTCCGCCTATAAGTTCAGAATATAGTTCGTAGACCGCTGTGACGTGTCTCGATCGATTTACGTCTTCCCTAAATAGCAAAAGCTAATAAGTAGGAAGGCCCGATCAACAGGTGTATGACAGGAAACCGGGTTCCGAACTCACGGCCTCAGTTCAAACATCATTTTAAACACGAGATCCTCCATCTGTTTTCCTACATCATCTCTGAGGGTGTCGGGTTGCAGTTGTTTAACAATTTCGACGAGTGCCCTTGATACTATGTATAACGTTACTTGCTACGTGTCACCACAAAAACAAATATCAATATTTAATCAAACTTGGATATGTGTGAGGGAGAATAGGTTTTCAGAAAAATTTTCCTCCTCATACCTTTTTACGTTCCTTCCGAATATCATCTAATTCCTTGTTCGTGCTCCTCATCAGGGCGGTATCACTCCTGAGAATTATCGTAAAAAATTTTTGAATTGATTCAGATTAACGCGGAAAAGTGCGTGAAGAGTACATACGAATGTCGCTTGTGAAATGGAGCCTCTAGACTCTCGAACTTTGATTCTTGTTTCTCTTTCCTCCAACTTAACACTAGATCAATCACGGCTCTAGGCTTGTGCCTGGCAATGTATCCCAAGGAGTTAATAAGTTTGTCGAATGATGGGTCAACCCCGGGTCCAATTTGAACAGCAAAGTCTGGTTCGGTATCCTACAGTGGAAAATATACAAATTTCTTGAGTACATTTGGAAAGTGGTTTTTTTTTTTTGCAATCTCAAAGAAAGAATCTTGACGAACCGTGCTAAAGCCCATAATGAGAACTAATTTTCTGTCGGCTTGCTTGTAAAATTGTCTGTACAAAATGTTCAGAGCATAGTCAGCAGGTGTTTTAACCTCTGCTGTTTTATTCTCGGACGCTGATTCATCCGCAGTTTGTTTCGGCTGACCGAACATAATTTCGTCCGAACTTGAGACGCTAAGTTTGCTTGCAGAAGTCGAAAGGTTAGGTTGATACATATAATTTTGACCGTGGTTGAAAGCGGAATGAGGAGATAACCCGCCCACTGTCGTCGCCGAAGATTCCACGGGTGACGATGGTTTCGTGGCACTGGTTTCTTCCGGAGGGACGACAATGGGATATCGAGGTCCTGCCGATTTGTCTTCTTCTGCACCGTTATCAGTCAACAGCGTCATTTGAGACGACAAATTTGCCGCGGCAGCGAACTGATGACCAGCCATTTTAGAGAAAGTTCGTCTGCAAGGTGTATAAACTTCGCTCGAAAATGAATCGCAAGGAGCTTAATTTCATTTGTTTTTTTGAGGATAGCACGGATTACCATATTTGGCTAGCCATGTTCCTGACTCTTAAATCGGGTGCACAAAGATTTAATAAGGTGTGTTACGTATGGTCGTATCGTATACAGTGGAAATTCAAACAACATATTGGTATTTAATATTAATAAACATTAGTCATAGTCTAATCGTACTGTATTTTTTCTGGTGCAACAAATTTTTTTAGGGAATCTAAAGAGACATACTATTTTATGATCGAATCTCCCTGCCTGATACATGCGCGTTAGTGTTATGACATAAGCGAATGCGTGCTCTGGCCCCCAAAATTCACACTGCAACGAAACACCGTATCACATTGTGATGATAATATTTGCGTGCGTTCGTGCGTAACAAATAAAGGATCAAACTTCCATAATCTAGACAAAAAATATTATGCCCTAGAGCATAGCCTTTTCTAAAATAAGAAAGATTGACTTTTGGTCCAATTTCAGGATTCTTTTACCCAATGTTGTTACGACACGATTTTTGATCTACTCACAATGTACATAAAAATTCGATCACAAAATGAAAAAAAATTTTTATCTTTCTTTTTTTGACTCGCATGATATTTTTCTGTCCCTCTTTGAATTAGATACGTACGTAATATACAGATCAATTTCTTGAGATTCGTAATATGTCCTTGTTGAAGGCTACTGTTAAATCCGTACTTTCAGGTGATACACTGATTCTTCGTGGCAAACAAATTGCAAACAAACCTCCTCCCGAAAGGCAGCTGAATTTGGCATACATTCAGGCCCCGAGAATAGGAAGTCAGAAAAAAGATGATGAAGTAGGAGAATTTCAATTCTGTGCTAATCACATTGGATTCGGCCATTGACAATATCGTGCACACAATTCTCTCCATTTCATATTCTCGATTAGCCCTTTGCGTTCGAAGCTCGCGAATTCATTCGTTCCCGTATCGTTGGCAAGGAAGTATCATTCCGCGTCGATTACACCATTCCGAGCACCAATCGGGAATATGGCACCGTCTATTTGAACAATGAAAATCTCGCCCATTTGATAGTCAAGGAAGGATGGGCCAAGGTCAGAGAGGAGAGCAGAAAGAATAAGGAAGAGGGTAGGGAAGAGTATGATAGCCTTATTTCTTTTGAAAAAATCGCCCAATCGGCCGCCAAAGGCATATGGGAAGATAAGGAGAAGGTATGTTTGGATTTTTATCATCAGTGCCGCCGATCCACCTGTTCTTGTGAGCGATTGTCACCTGACACAAATTACCGCAGTACTCTCGTAACGTTAACTACACCTTTCAAGAAGACGCCAAAGCATATTTGGACAAATACAAGGGGCAACCGATTGATGGTAGGTGATCGATCTTGTTTGCTCGAATTTCATCTTACTTAAAATCCTTTTAACGGTTGGTAAAAAGGTATTATCGAACTGGTGCGTGACGGTTCCAGTCTCCGCGTTCTTTTCATGCCCCCTTCTCCCGCGCCACAACAATATCTTAACATAAACATAACTGGAATTAAAGCACCTGTTGTTCGGAAGGATGTTCCAGATCAAGCAGATATCATCGAACCTTTTGGGGAAGAAGCAAAATACTTTGTGGAGTCTAGATTGCTTCAGAGAAATGTGAAAATTATACTCGAGGGACTTTCCGGAAATAACCAGGCATTCTTTGCCTCGATCTCTCATCCCGCGGGTAATATTGCAGAAGCATTGGTAAGCGCGGGATTAGCCAAAGTTGCAGATTGGAGTATAACCATGATTACCGACGGTCTAGCAAAATTACGTGCCGCTGAAAAGTAAGAAAATTTGCAAATTCATGTACCTCTCTCTTTTTTTATTTTTACATCTGACAGCTCAACTTTTTGACCCGAATATCACAGCGCTGCAAAACAAAGAAAGTTGAAGATATGGCATGATCATGTAATTAAGAGTAAAGTTGGTGGCGATGATCATGAGTTCGAAGGAACCGTGAGTACGATTTCTTTATGATTCAAATGATATTCGTGGATCAATAAATTTCAATTTCTTTCTTTCTTTATAGGTGACTCGCATAATCAGCGGTGATTCCCTTTGCGTGAAGGTGAATCGTACGGGAGCTGAAAAGAAACTACAATTGTCAAGTATCCGACAACCAAAGTATGTTTGGGGTGTTTGTGTTGATCTCACTTTATTGCGTTTAGACCAAAATCCAAAGATTGTTATCTAAATAATCAATAGACCAAAAGACCCCAAGCTTCCTGAATACAATTATGAGGCAAAGGAATTCTTGCGAAAGAAGTTAATAGGAAAAACGGTAGCTCAATTGTTTGTACAAATTATTTCTTTTCTCATTTACCATTCTGATGAATCACTGGACGTTGGTTCGTAGGTTCGTGTCACCATCGATTATCAAAAACCTGCATCAGAAGGATACGAGGCAAAGGAGTGTGCTACTATTAAGCTTGGTGAATTGTAAATATCATTACTTTTTTCATAAACATTTTACTCTATATTTGCTTGAATTCCGTGTTTGTTTGTTTTTATTTAACAGTAATCCGGCAGAAGCTCTACTTGAGCGTGGGCTTGCCCATATTATAAGGCATCGACGGGATGATGAGGATCGTTCAAGCTGCTACGATCAGCTTTTAATCGCGGAGCAAAAGTAATATCGCAAAATTTATTGGCAAAACACTTTCCATATCATATACATTTATTTATTTATTTACATATAATTATTTTATAGGGCACAATCAAATGCCAAAGGTATTCACAGCAGCAAAGAGCCACCAACATACAGAATTGGTGATGCCTCAGAGGTTTGTACCATGGTTAGATGCGAATATGTTTAGATTAGTACAACTGTACATTTATTAACAATATCTTAAATATTTAATATTTTGCATAGAATGCTGCGAAAGCACGTCAATTCCTTCACTCTTTGCAAAGGATTGGTCGTATCGGTGGGGTAGTCGATTTTGTCAATAACGCGACGAGGTTTAAGATTTATCTCCCTAAGGAGGGTCACAAGATAACCTTTGTTCTTGGCGGAGTTCGTGGACCTCGACCTGGCAGAACACCCTCGGAAAAATCTGATCCATATGCTATTGAGGCTCTTGAATTTGCAAATCGCAAACTATTACAACGTGACGTTGAGATTGAGGTGGAGAATGTTGATAAGACAGGCGGATTCATCGGCTCACTTTGGCTCAACAAGACAGATAACTATGCAGAATTGTTATTGAAAGAGGGATTCGCAAAAGTTCATTCTTATGGCGCCGACGCAAGTAGGCTTCACGCGGCTGAGATGGTGGCCATGGAGGCGAAAAAAAATGTACGCGTATTTTTCACCATAAAACTCGAGAAAATTATTTTTCACCTTCTGATGTTCATTTCACCGTTAGCTTTGGTCTCTTCAAGAATCTCTAGAAGACGTGAATGTGGCACCGGCAGAGGAAGGAGAACCCCGAAAGGAATATATAGATGTCGAGGTTTCAGCAATTACCTCAGGAGGAAATTTCCATGTTCAAATTGTAAATGATGAAATTAACAATTTAGAAAAGATGATGTCTGAATTTCGACTTTACCATAAGACTGCCTCATCCTCTGGTGCTTCAAACTTTAAAACTGATGAAATTGTCTGTGCGCAATTTACTGCCGATGATCAATGGTGATTAATTATAATTCACGTTCGCTCATTATTTTTTCTCTCCATTTCATCATCATCATTTTTTTTAATTAAGATCTTTTTCCATCGTGCAAATATTTTAGGTATCGCGCAAAAATAAAGAAATTTACTGGTGACAAAAAGAGCGCCGAAGTAGTTTACATTGATTACGGAAATGTAATGAATTTTGATTCTACTGATAATTTTTCGTGTCATCGTTTTCCGGCTAATCTAATGGGGTTTTACTTTCTTAGTCGGAAACAATTCCTGTTTCTCGAATTCGCCCTATTCCAGACAATTTCAAGAAGCTACCATCGCAATCACAAGAAGCCGTGCTCTCATTCATAAAAGTCCCCGCACGTGAAGTAATTGTAGATTCTTCAATATGCACACGCCGCTTGTTTTTCATGAACCTATGCTAAACTTACCCGTTTTACAGGAAGACTATGGCGAGGATGCATACGAAAGATTCAGGAGTATCGTTGACGACAAGAAACTTGTTGCCAATATTGATTATCGTGAACACAATTTACTTCATCTTACCCTCTACAATCCTGCGCAAGCTCAATCCCCCGAAGCTTCAATTAACGTTGAGTTGGTTCGCGATGGTTACGCATTGGTCAATAAAAAGCTAAAATATTATAGACGCTATCCTAACTTGACCAAGAAATTCGAGGAATCTCAGGAGCAAGCGAAAAAGGATAGAGTGAGTGCAATGGAGCGATTTTGTCAATCTTTAAAATGCATATACTGTATATATATATATCGTTCTTCTTACTAACATCACATAATTTTCCAGTTGGGAATGTTCGAGTATGGCGACATAACGTTAGACGATGATGAAGTTGATTATTGAACTCATGATCGGGATAACACCCGAAGTTAATTATATTGAGGATAATAGAATAATAGCATAGACATAATAAATTTCTTATTTATACTTGTATTTTAGATGTATGAGAGTGGTGGATAACTTTTTGGAAATTTTCAAATCGAAAGTATTTGATAGAATAAGTATACAGCTGTTCTTGTAAATAATACTTGGCACATGAATGACAAAGTAATATAAAATTCAAGACAAACGGTTCATCTGGAGATAATTTTTGAACACCCGTGAGAAGGGAAAGCGTGGTGGAGATAGAGATTTTCGTAATAAATTGATTGGAATATTATTGGAAAGGATAGAAAAGATCTTCAACAACCAGTCAGACAGTGTATAGTTTTCAGCCGAGGTTGTCATTGCATAATGATTGTTTGAAGTACATTGTCAAAGATAATCAAAGCTTCTGTAAAAGTCTTGAAATGAGTTTCATCCTCGGTGACCAACCATTGCCCATCAGGTCTGATATTGCGACTTGGACTATTTCCTGCTGATTCTTCAATTGATTTATCAAAACCTCGAGTAGCATCTTGATCCATCTCCGGAACCTTGATTATCTTGTCTGATTCATCATCAACTTCTTTTTCACTCTCGACTGGTATCGATTCGCCCACCATGTAGGGAATTATTCCTTCGCGACGAGGTTGTTGAGGTTTTTGGTTATGCACAATTTTTTCTACTGTGTTAGCTGTTTGACCTTCAGGAGTTTCAAGTCCGTCAACATTCCAAAAATCGCACCACACATTTTCTTCATATAAAGGTGACAACAATTCAATGACGTCTTCCATCCCTTCGACTGCTTTGGACGAGTCGTTCATGACCAAACATTCGGTATTCTTATCAGACGTTCCTTTAATCGCCGTACTTAAAAGGCGCAGTTCAAGTTCTTGAGGATCGATCAGTTTATCATCATCTGACAAAGAATCGGAAAGCCCGTCGACTTCAATTGGGCTCAACTTATTGGGTTCAGAACAAATTACGGTTCGAATCCTTTTCGTTTTAATTAATGGTTCATCGAGAAGATCATGTGAAGGTTTTGGAGACAAAACGGAAATTTTGCGCTTTTTTGGTGCACGCCGACAACCAATCTTGCAGCATTCGTGAGCACATCTGATTTAAATGTGATTAATTATAAGATCCCCGACACGAAATTGTTATCCACTCCCACGGATCGAATGTGTGACCTACTTCTTTTTGTCCTTGCAATGATGATGACATTTTACTCGTCCATTTGGTAATAACTCGTAGTCTTCTTGATCATTTGCGCTTTGATCCTTTTCCTCAAAAAATTTTTCTGCATCAATTGGCGTTGGCGAGGGAACCGTTACCTAAATTTAAATAATGATCGTGATGCCTGCATTCAAAAGAAATGATTCATTCTATATCTTTTCTTTTTACCTCCTCACCCTCGGTCACATCGTTTTCCCGTGTTTGTTCAGATATTTCATCATCCGACAAAATCTTTTTGCAAATAATTTAGTTTAGTGTATTGACATGGACGTATTAAATTTTTTGAGACACGAAAAGGAACGAAACCTCGATCACTTCGCGACTTTCTTGCAAAAGTTTGGGAGGAGTGGAAGAAATATTGCATGCATTCATCGATTGCGCATCAGGTAAGATTGTTCGATGAACATCCAGGCCAACTATTGTTCGTGTGATTTCATTAGAAACAGGCGAAAGAACAAGGAAAAAAAAAATTTTTTTTTTTTTTTTGACACAGGATAAACTCACTGAACTCCTCCGGTAAAACGGAACAGACCACGTGTCGATTCATGCAATTTTTTTTGAATACCCTAAACTCAAATCTCAATCCCTGTTGAACTTTCCATAACCTAAAGTAAAGATTTTAGTTAGTAATCACACACACCATTGCATTAATATTTATCAACGCGAGAATAATGAAACTCACGGGATTTGACGAAAATCCAATAGCAAATTATCTGCTGCTGCTATGAAGGCTATATTCAGATTGTTTCCATAACGCCTGGTATTTACCTTTGTGCTGTTGATCAAACTTATGGTGGTCGAATATAGGTCGTACTCTTCGGATTTGGTGAGTTCCTGTTGTTGGCAATACCAGAGTTAAATATAATCAATTATTTTCTCATAAGACTAGTTTGCAAAAGGGATAGTTCAATATTCATATAAATACGCGATTAATGTCGAGTTCCGTTTTAGGTAAAGATGCAACAGTCTCACGCATCTAAAAAATAAAAAGATATTTTTCAAAATAAGGTGGACGATAGATTCAGAGAATAAATGCGATAAACGCACATTATGACCGAATGGTGGATGCCGATTACAGGCCTTTAACAAATTGAAAATCCATCGATGAGTTCAAGTTAATGATAATAAGATGCATAGATGCAGAAGGTGGTCAAAAATTTGAGTAGACTTTATTTGACGGTTATTAGTTGTCCTGTCAGATCAAATGCTTGTCAAATTGTCCGCGAACTTTTGACCACCAGCGTAAGTTCGAATGACTTACAGTCTCAATTTTCCAGGTTTCGCACTCCTTCAATTGATCAATTGTTGTTATCCCGATATCTGCAAGTTTTCTTGCATATTGCTCACCTTTAAAGATGAGTGAAAAAATTTTTACTCTCGTTTCCAGTACCAAATGTAAACTTGGCCTTTATAAAACTCACCAATTCCATCCAGTTGTTTTAACAATAAAGGGGAATCGTCCCACATTTTGACTTTGATGCATCTCGCTCTTGATAGAGTTGTAATTTGAAATGTCACGATATCATCATTCCCATTATACCAAGATTCTCACAGATTTTCATTAAGGAAACTTACAAATCCATTGCTATTCTCAAAAGCTTTACATTCTCTTTATACGCAGCCAATTCGATAAAACCTAGACCGAGAAAAAATTGAAACGCTTTACAACGAGAAGGACAAGCAAAAGAAGAAAGAGAGGAATAGGTAATCAAAGAGATAAAAACATTTCATAATACGATGTCCGTGCCGGAGGATGACCCTGGATTCCATGTTAGCCTGAAAACGGTTTTGTGCATCTTCAAAAGACACATTGCCCAACACACACTGATTTTTTTCGCACGTGGAAAAAAAAAAAAAGAAAAGGATGATTGAACGCGTTTATAGTGAATTCGCGTGTAACTTCTTCCATCGATTTTTTGATTCACACCTGAATCATTATAAATATTTTTCCCTCGGTATCTTTTACTTTGCCGGAAAGCTTAAATCTGATGTCTGCGTGATGATTTAGTTTGTTCAACGCCTGAAATTCCAAAGAACGCGATTACTTTGTGTAATTGACCGTTATTCTTCCATAATCGCAAAAGCCTCTTCTTACCAGCTTTTCGTGTCGATGCAACTTCACTTCGTTAAATTCTTCGGCCTTCGACATTTTCTGTAACTTTTATTGGCCGATAGGTGTCACTTGGTGTACACAAAAACAAATGAAAAACACTTCCTTGATAATGAGCTGAATACCATGACTTTAATGACTTCATCCCTTGTCGCCGACGGCTTGGATTGATGCCACTGGAAAATCGTCAACATATTTCCCACAGTAAAGTATTTCAAATGATATTTCGCCATCGCGTCGCCGATTTCTACGATAATCGGTGGTGTGAAATTGTGATTGCGATTGTTCTCAAACAACTGCATTTACTTACTAGTGGACCGTAAAACGTCGTCATTGATTGTAACCATTTCAGAGACAACCAAGTTTCTTATGTCATTCATACAGATTTCTGAGAACGAAATAGAAATCATGTAGCGTGCAATTTCTCCATGACATGTTGAAGGTCAAGTTAAAATGAAAAATAACCTTCGAGTCGTTTCTCCCAATCCTGTCCTTCTCTGAATTCTGGGTCATACCTCTGCGGATTTGACTTCATCCTTACGTACAAGAATGTCGACCTTAGCCATTCCTTCGCCTTGTTCACGTGGTTTATTGTTCCAAGGCATATCTCCGAGTTTAAGTGTTCGTGAAGAGTTTCATGCAGGCTATTCATAAACGTCGAAAAGATTATATGATTCGAAACTCGATGGCTTGGATCGTATTTAAAGGTGTTTGGATAATATTTTACCTGCTCTCAAGCTTATCTTTAGTTCCGGTAACCAACTCCTCGTACCTTTGTTTCATGTCATTGCTTGTCATGATAACCGCTAAAGTGAATGACATTTCAATATCAACACCAATTTTAATTTTCGCGACAAGAACCCGAGCTTTTATACCTGTTCCACTCTCGTCAAATTGTGGTCTCCCCTATTAGTGAGAAGATTATAAGCATGACACGTACCATCATAATTACATGCAAACGCGTTGAAACAATTCACTCACAGCACGCCCCAACATTTGCTTTATTTCCGAGTCCAAATACTCTACAAATTCTCCATTTTTATAAGCCATGGTTGATTTGATTATGACCAGATGCGCTGGCAGGTTCACCTACGAAATAGTGTTTATGATTTCACATGATGTTTAAATACAAAGGAAAAAGTAAACCTACTCCAACAGCCAAAGTAGACGTGGCACCTGAAGGTGAATGAGTCAAGGTTAACGTGTCATTGATAATTTCAAAAGACTTTGCAAAACTTACAAATGACATGCACAACTCCGCTCAAGAACAAATTTTCTACACCCTTGCGATCCTGCATATCAAGTCCCGCGTGATGAAATGCAATTCCGTATCTTACTAATTCTGAATTCCAAATCAATCGACGTTAGTGAAGAATTCTTCTGATGGTGGTTCGGTTCAAGATACCTGGTAGTTGCTTGTCGTGGAACGTCATGTCACTAAAATGAGGTATAACGGGATGATTAGAAGATGTTAAAAGCAGTTTACAAAGTCAGGTCGAATCTCATACACAGGTCGAGTATGCCAAGGTAGTCCTTGGCGAGATTGCTGCATTTGCTTGATTTTCTTGATTATGGCCTGACACGCTTCTTCGGTAGACTTTCTTGTAGTGCAAAACTACGCAAGCTGGACGTCAGGATTGATCAACAACATTGCTCATCAAAGAACACAGAACATTGCCTACCACCATCGTAGATTTTCCAGAGGAATAGCGTTGGATCACATCCAAGAGCCTGTAAATGTAATTCCGTTGACAATTATGCACATATTCTTTGACGACGACTATTAACTAATAATACTGAATGATACTTTCTTATCATTCAACGATTTGTCAAATTTGAATGCATTCCCATCTGATGGATATGTTAATACTTGGTGAGAGAGGCGCACTGGTCGATACTCTTCTCCAAATTGTAAAACCCTGGCCTTTTTTCTATGTGGACGGCCTTTATATTTCAACATCGGTTAAAGGAAAAATAAATGGATGTCCTAAAAAAAAAACGAAAAAAAAGAAAAAAATTTGCACAAACCACTATTAGCTGACGAATCTTGAAAATCCAAACTAATCCATAACGCGACGTCGTCGATATTAAATACTGTTGCGGAAATTGCAACAAATCGACAGTTCGTTCCCATTAGTTTCATTCTGCTAACCTGGTTTTTGCAGTGGTCAAAGGTGTCACACATATCTGCACGTTGAAAGACGACAATTCACTCATCTAAAAAAAGTCATACTCACAACCGCCTCGAGGGTGGCTCCACGATCTTCACGCAACATGTGAACCTCGTCAATCTAACGATAAGCACTTTGTTAAAAACGAGCGTGCCGCTAAATTCGTACTAATTTAATACCAACCATGAACAATTTGAGCATATTTAACAGATTCCGGACGTCAGTCCTGGTGATTATCAATTCATTCGTCAATAACGAGACAAACGATACGATGCAATCGACAATAGACTGTCAACGACAATACCATACCATTGACGTGTCACGGATTCCCATTTTTCCGGGGTTGTTATGCTAAACCATCATCAGTGTTGACAAGGCGAAAAGAAATATTTTTGAAATATATATATATGTCATTATTGTCTTGGTATACATACATAATATGACTCTTCTTGATGTCGGCAATGTGCGTTGAATCCGTGTCACCGGTCAGTTCTCCGCCTAGAACGACACGACAGACATCGAAAGTCAATGAATGAAGATTAAAAATGAATCCAGGATTTTGATAACTCACAGGTAATCCCAATCGGTCGAAACCTTTGCGACCAATCCTTGGCACGTTCAGAGCAAATCGCCTTCAAACATGCATTATTACCTCAGTCTCGCGGGACGATGACGTTAATGTGGTAAACGATGATCGATACCTTTGTCGGCGCCATGTAAACCATCTTCACCCGTTCTTCTCTTTCACTCTTGATCACGTTAACCATAGCGAGCTCGAACACCACCGTCTTTCCGGATCCCGTGGGTGCTACAAAACAAGCTTCATCAAGTTTTCTCTCAATAAAAGAAACTTTGAGAAAACCAAACTTACCAATCACGACAAGATCTTCATTAGTGTACAAGGCCTAAAAAAATAATTGTCAAGAAACCATTACCATTTATTATTTCTGATTTTCGTTACGTAATTAAAAATAAATGAAGAGGAGGATTCTTGCCGAGTCAATGCATTGAGATTGAATGTTGTTGAACACACCGAAAGGGAATAATTGTCGAAATCGATCGGCTAATATTTTCTTTTGTCAAGGAAATATCTCATGTTCATGGAACGAAGGTTGTGCCCAACACCCTTCGATTATACAATTATATCAAAGGATACGCAGCTCCGTAACCCTGCGAAGTCCTTCCAAAGGATCAGCCCGCCGACTCCGAACACGATACAACTCGTCATAAGCGTTGCTCTGTGTGTTTAAACATTCATTCGCGTATGGCACATTGTTATAAATGCCAATCCTTGTGTCAGAGGAAGCCCCGGCTTGATATGGTTGCCATGACTTGATGCAAAAAAAGAAAAATGAAGATTGTTCTCCGAGTTTTTCCGTTATACAAATGTTTTAGGAGCATGGATACTTACGGCCGGATAACGAGAACCAAATGCACTTTCTTCCGGAAGTCGTGTGTTTTGCGGGGAAAAAACAGGATCGAAGTTTGGGTAAGCTTGCGACGGAAAGTTCTTCTCGGGAGAAGCATCACCTGTAAATTCGTCAGAACGTTGCACCAACATATTGTGTGGAGAGAAACTTTGCTCGACATTCTTTCGCGGAGAATAACTATATTGGATTTGCTGGTGTGGATAAAAGTTGTGTTCTCTATCTTGACGAGCGAAATAATTATAATTATCCTGTGTAGCATAGTAAGGGTATTGCTCCGATGCGTTAAATTCGTTATTCTGGTTCAATTTTTTGGGAGAACCATGTTGTAAAGCATCGTTAAAGTTTCTAGAAGCAGAAGTATTTTTCCTTGGCCTCCCCGGACGTTTTTGATTCCACTTTTGGGGCATGACCTAACAGGAGAGATAGCAAACAAAGAGGCAATTGAAAAGTTCTCGAGAAAGCACACTATAAGATTACTCAAAATTTTAAACTTCAAAAGAGCTTATTTTCTTATACCACATCAAATTGCAAAAACAACGTGATAAACTTTTTAGCGTAACTAACTCCGTGAGGTATCTGGTTTATTTTAACGATAAATTGTCTGAGCATTCTGGTTGAAGTCATCGCACACATATTTTCAGGCGAGTGCGAAATGCATGAATTTGCTTATTTGTAAATTTACGTGTTGCATAGATTTATCACACGAGGAATATTAAACTCGTTCCGCTGCGATTCAGTCAAATACATTTTTCCGAAACGAAGTCAATTAAACATTTCGTATGGCGAAAGCAAGGAAAACACCCAAAGAGGTTAAACGGGAAGAGTTCTTGATTTGATCTGGCAAAATATGGCAAAGTGATTCGGGATAAAAATGGTTTTGAGGGTTCGTGATGTTCACTGAGACATGTTTCTGGTCTTCGGGCCAGCGGCTTTTCCGTTCTGATCAAAAATTGGGCCCCACGGTATACCTGAAAATGGATTTTGACATTGACCGTTGTCCATCGTTGAAACTTGATGTTGATTGTTTATCGTTGAATTTCCTTGTTGATTATTATTCATCATGGACTGTTGAGCGCTCAGCAAACCTCCAACCCAATTCAATAGAACGGTGGTCGCTTGTTGATTATTTCCTGATAGATTGTTAAACGCATTCAGGAGATTCATCATCTCGGGGTTAAGCGCATTCATAAGGAAATCGGGAACAGGATTAATGTTGCTGGGTGCATTCACGGAGTCGGTCTTTTGACCAAACATTGCAGTTCCAGAGTTGGGAGCACGATTCGCACCTTCTTGGGGCACTGATAGATTAGCAATAATGTCAGCATTGACTTGGGTTGTTGATTGATTGATCGGTACGTCCAAGCTCCGGTGATCTTCAGCGCTCGTTATCTCCATATCATCACGCGATTGAATTATGGTGGCGGCTGTGGTGGACGCGTCAACCGGAAGACATGATGACGTGGTAGAATTCGGAACATGATCAGGGGTGGTCGGATGACTCGTGGATGCCTCCGTATTCACCGGAGAAGTGGATGTTCTGATTTTCGATTCTTTTTCCGATAGTTTTTGATTTCTTAGTCTCTGGAGATCTGTGGCTGGAATTACTCTCGAAATTTGTTTTTGCAGTTCAAACAACACCCGACTATGATAGTTTTCCAAACCTTTCATCTGAGAACGATGTCGAGAGATGATAATCTCTTCCTCTTCTTGGAATTGTTTCTGAAAATGAACAAACTTAATGATCATTACCATTTCACACTTGATGATGACAATTAAATTAGATTTCGACTCACGTATAGATCATGAAACGTTAATCTTGGTTCGACCTCTGATTCGTTAAGTATCCTGTAAATATCACCTTCCGCATCTTTAAAGCTTTCCGGTTCTATGCCGCTGAGAATATCTCTCACGTTAGGGCACATGGCCGTGGATCGCAATGAAGAGATCCAAAATGTTTCCGGTTTTATGTCTCGGGGGTCAACCTTTTCGTAGAATTTTTGTCGGTGTAGCTTTCTTTCGGAAATTTGCGATTTCCGAAGGAGCTCCTTCTGATTCTCGTGTTCTTTGGCGATCAGTATCTCGCGTTCTAGTAAGAAATTGACTTCGGTTTTCTTTTCGCTAGGAGGTTCCACGATTTCTTCATCATATCTGTGATAAATCATTTAAATTCGCGCGTCAACATAAACGATTCCAGATGAAAAAAACATTTGTTTCCGAACAACAGTTTTTTTACCTATCCGGAAAAGGCTTCATCATAATGTAAAATAAACTTTCGTACTGAAAAATTCGCAAAGAGCAAAAGGACATCGTTTTAGAAGATCTCTATTTGCCAGGAAACGATCTGAAAAAAGTTAAATCTATCTACCATTTCCTTATCTTCAGGTCGCATGACTTTTTATTATTACCGTGAGTGAAGCACAAGTGTGTTGAAGATCAATTGCGAATTCTCAGATCTTTATATGAGCGCAAAATATTTTCATCAAGTCATTATATATATTCATAGTCTATGCATGGGTCACACATAACAGTAACTTTATTGTTGCATTTATGTATATCATGATGACCATTAACTCATTGTCAATTGATTTGAGAAATTCAACAATTTGACGTGAGATATTAGGAAATAAAAACACATGCAAAGTACACGTCACGAATTCCATATCCGATCATCTAGAGATTTGGACGCGTCACATACAGACTACGTGATGTGATAAAAAAAAAAAACAGCGCACACACACTTCCCAGAAGAAACAAACATCTGACCAAACGAATTTCGGTTTGATGAATTGATTAAAAAATGATTATTGATTCTTGTCGCCGACTCACTTATCTGCTTACAATCACGACAATCAAACGTTCACCTTCGTCATATTCACGGCAAAAAAATCATTGCAATATATCAATACAATTATAAAATGGTGAAGTTAAAATCTAACTAATGTCAGGTGCCGAGATGACATGCGTGATGGAAAAAGATTAATAAATTAAACGAAGAAATGATATTCGAATAAGTATGTTCCTTATAAAAAAAAAAAATTGACCCAAGGACATGCAACCAGTGTCGATATTCTCCTTTCTTGAAAACATTATTCCGAGTGGTCATTATCTCCATCGGCGGAGAGTTCCGGAGAATTGCTATTATCCAGGGGATTTGTTGAAGTTGGCGGTGTCAAGTTATATCCGGCTTTTAGTGTTGGGAATATGCCAGGTGTTGGCTTCCAATTACAATTCCTTCCTTCGTCGTAGATATCTTCTAATACTTCTTCAAATATACCTTCCGATTTGAATTGCAAGTACTTTTTATATATCGCCAGCGCCT